CCGGACCATTGGAGCGCGCACTCCCACGCGACGACTCCTCGGAGGTAGAGGAAAAGTGGGAATCGTCGAGCATCTGTCCTGTTTAGGACGGGATTTGGTCTTCTTATTGGTGACAACGGTGAAGTCACTGTCATCGCCGATACTACCACTACTGGCTGATTCACCCAAGTCAGAGGTGGCCGTATTGACAGTTACTTCTGGCTCGGGAGAAACGGGGAGAGAGACAGAGTCCGGTTTTACGAGCTCAGTAGGAACGCGAACGTCGGCACACTCTTGGGGCTTGGGTATTGTGGGGCTAGTGTCTACGTCATTTGAGGGCTCGGGTCTCTTTTCCTTTGAACGACGAGGAGCAGTCTTGGGAGCATTCTTAGGTGTGTATACCTCACTGACTGCATTGTTACATGTCTTTTGGGTTTCACTGTTAGGGTTTCCGGCAGAGACAGCAGAATTGGTGGTATGCTTAGAAAGGGCAGCAGACTTTTTGGAATTCTTCGCGGCGGACAATCTCCGTCTCGCAGGTGCTGATAGCAGGAGGGAACTTGAATTAGACGGAGGTGCATTATTTGCAGGAGTGACATCTGAGGATTGGGAACAAGGCTGGTGAAGAAAATTGAAATAAAGAAAAATCAATTGAGGCGGATGGAATATGTACGAAGAAGATAATATTTTTTGCGACACTCGGTTTTGTAGGTTATAGACCCCCTTTTGTGGGTTTAGTTCAGAGAAAATGCCCGAGACTGCCGCTAATTTTCTCATACGACTGCGACAGAACAGAGCAGAATGAACGAATAAAGCAGAGAATATGAACTACAACATCGGGCAAAAAGAGGAGACCAGTAACTACGACTTAGTGCTAAGTCTAAAAGTGAACACGGGCTTTTCGAAATGTTTCAAAGTGCGCAAATGAGAAGAAAGGTATTGTTTAACTCATTTAAAAGCTATTCTAATTTGTCCTCCTCTCGGAACAATAACCGCCTTTCTGTCCCTAAAATCAAGCCTGGCTTGGAAGAAGCTTTTGGGATGGCAAATGTTAAGGATGCCACAAGCATGTGTCATTGATCAGCAGTAATGTATAGCCTAAGCAAAGAAATGAAGACCCAGAATCGACGTTCACTACAATCGCGCATTCAGCGAGAGCTTAGAACTGCGCTTATCCGCGGAAAAATGTATCAGTATTTTAAATACCATACGAGTAGCAGTATTCAGGCACTGAAACCTGCGGTGACCAATAACCAACTTATAGTCTTTTGGTGTAGCCGCAAAGTGTGCCCCCATCATTACACATTGTTTCAGGCGGTCAGTTGTGCAGCGGGTAATTTTCGTCAGTGCGCGCATGCCAGTCGGCTGTCCCCTTTAAATGCTACCGGGCTATGAAGACACGATTTTTTTAACGGTAGCGAAACTTGTGCTGCTCTAATTCAGGTGAGTTGATCGTTGGTGCATAAAAACACCGTGAAAAAAGCATCGACCCTTCTTCCCACTCTTCCCATATTGAGTCAACTTTGTGCCTTCAAACACACACGCGCGGCCTAACAAGTGGTTTCCATTTCCAAAGCCAAACTGAACCGTGGTACATTTTACAAGCTTCTAGCTTTATTGGGTATTTTCTTGGGTACAACTCTTCGAAATTCGGTAGTAATTTGCCATAACGACGGATCCATCTTCTCAAACTTCCTCAATGATCTTAATCTTTTGGACGATTTAATGATTAGACCATTCCGTATTCCGCATCCTGACTGGCAAATAGGCTTGTTTGCCAACCGCATCAGTTAGTATGGTCCGTATTCCATAAAACCTCTTCCAGCTCGCATTTGCGCCCGCTTTAATGGCCACCAGCCCAAATACGAAATTCCCCTAAACATCGCACAGGAGCCTAAGAGCATCGGGAACGGGTGCGCAAGGGAAGAGAGAGTGCAGCAGATGCATCGAACGTCTACTATTACTTAAAACTAATCTATACACAAGTCAGTGTTTCTGCAGCACCATACCATGGAGCAAATGGTGGACCTCGTCGAATACGACGGTAAAACTGTCGTATTGTGGATGTGAGAGGAAATAGTCCTCACGTCACGGGCGTTTGTTTCGTCTTTCGGTAGAGCGCAAATGCAAGATCCTGTCTACTTGAGTTGCCGTAGAGGAAGTCGGGCTATAGTACTCGGACCAGGCAGCCGAACTTCCCACAGACAGATGACATCAACACCGTAGCTTGAAAAGCCAGCAGCTAACGGTAATTCTGTGACTGTCTTTGTAATGTCTACGCATCAAAGAAACACGCTGTGAATGACTTTGGAAAGGAAATCTGGCGTAAAAGCGACTGAGTCAAGAATAACGAAGGTTGCAAAAAATAAATAAGGAGATACTGCCAGTCACATCACTTACCTCTGATACAGGAGGTATATCCGGTCCAGGTGCTCCATTTACCTCTAGAAAAAGGCAACGTAAAGCATCGAATGCAAAAGGCTTACGCTTGGTAGGGTCTTCAATGGAACCTGTAAGCGGGTCTACTTGACTGAGAGATGGCATGAAAAAGAGAGGTACACCGCAGAGATCACCTAGAAGACTGCCTGATGAGGAAAAGGCAGCCTGTCGGGGGAAGGCCGGGTGAGTACTATCCGAAGGAGGCGCAGAAAGAGGGGTCGAATCCACCTTCGACGGCTCACCGGGACTCCTGGGGGAGCGGGGTGTACGTTTATTCAAATAGAATGAACGTTGAGCGTCAAACGTGAACCTCGTGGTACCACATAAATCTAGTGGAGAAGGCAGAAAACAACGTTGTGCGAGGATAGGTGGCGTTTTGAGGGAGGTGTGACCATTCTGTTTCTCCTTTCCTAAACGACACTTTGACGTTGTGGCTTCTTCCTCGGTATCGACGCAGAAAACTTCGTCATAGCCATGTAAGAAAAGTTGGTTGCTTCCCAAACTATTCTGCAAGAAATGCTTGTCATTTTCAGCAAAAAAACACTTACATTGAAGGAGGAATGGTTCGTGTTAGCGTTAATACGAAGTTGTTCGGATTTGTAAGAACGATCAGCAAGCATAATAGTCTAAAAGAAGAAAATATAAAACATACGGAATTTATTGTTTTCCAATGAACGGATTAAACACTGGAGATTCATACGGCACGCATCGTCAGCTTGTGTGGAAATTTCAATACTAACATAACAGTTTGGACACAACAGTTAAAAACACACACCATACTGGGTCGGCTACGTCAGATTCCTTTATTTTGTTTTCAAACGACCTCAAATTATGCTAGTGCTAATACTTGTTAGCCAGCTTCTCAGTTGTTGGAGCGTCCAACTCTTCCAAATGAAAAAAAACGGAGTACCGAGTAGGAGCATCAGGTCTTCATGATGATGACGGTTGGCATAATTGAAGCGCTGATAAACGAACAAGGAGACGCATCTGGCAATCTGCGCCCTTGACTGACTGCAGCCGCTCGTTGGAAAGGCTATCGGATAACCAAATTAAAATCTTTACAAGGTAGACATCTGAGCAGCTAGGCCAACTCTCAGTTCTGTCTATTAAGTTTTTTTTGTGGCCGAAGCCTCTGATAGCCGTAAGTTGGCGTCCAGACTGGCCCTACTACAACCCTAAAGGAATAGACAAAGGAGTATGAAGGCAACCCACACTTAATTGATTGAAAAAGTTGAGATTAATTTTAAATTGTCTGTTCTAAAGTGAAGCTAAGAATGTGGGTGCTTAGCCGGTGTTTAAACGTCTACCACGACCAATCAAATCTACCTGACTGTAAAACCTGAGACGATTACCTTCTTTCCGAGGTTTACCGGATGTCTACACGATCTTACGCATGGGCTTACATTACAATTAAAAGACGAATAAGGAAACCGAAGTCTCATATATGTCGCAATTCATCACTCAATATGAAATACTAAATACAGAAAAGTTACAGTCAGTTATGAAATATGGCAGCGTTCTGGGCACTCACAAAATCGCTATCTCTGATCCATTTGAAGGCGTGAGGACATTATATACACAGTATTTTCAGAGCCTACTTGTTCATAAGTTCTCTGGTTATCAGTGCTGTAACTATCAACACCATAAGCATGGAGGACAGAAGGGGTAATTAATAACTACCTAAGCAGTGTGTCTGCAGTAAGTAGCCTATCTTGTTTTCTGCAGCAAAAACATGGAGTAAAAGTCAATTAGCTACAAGCATGGCCTTAACTTTGACAAACTTTGTGCTATTTATAGCTTTCCGCACCCGAAACTTGGGTTTTGATAGTAATTGCCAGGATATATGTATGGTCTCGTACAGGTATGACCAACAGAATGGTTACAAACTAGTTCCTAGAAAGAGTCCGTAATCCCTAACTCGGTCGCCGCAATCGATCACTACCACTAATCAACAGCAGTCACTGTAGGTAACGCGATCCAAGATTAACCAGTAATTCAATCTAATAGAAACTCTATCTACAGGCGATATAGGCAAACCGATGGCGAACTCAAATTCAGTACCAAACGAGGCCAAATAATAAAATAGTAAATTAAACATTGAATTGATCAGTATTTTCGCCATACAAAACAAAATGGGTCCGCACACATTGGGGTTATATTTATGGGAATAGCTTTTAATGTGGTCGGCCAGGAGGTGGTAACAAAAAACTGCGTGGATAAGCAATTAATATTTATCTGAAAAAGTGACTACCCACACACGGATATGCCAACCGTGACTGACAATTGCCAGGAAATTAACACCAGTGCTTGCACTAACGTCATCGCGATGTGACAGTAAAATGTTAATTGCTGATTGACATAGTCGACTGCGTGATACCAAGGAGAGTATGAGCGAAATACAATATGCAAACACTACAATATTAAGGACAGTGTGTGCGCGTCTTGTCGAAGCTACTTAAGTAGTTTGAGCAATCGAAATTCGAACTGCGCATAGACGACCTAGCAATAACATTGGATGTTGAATGTCTTACACGACGAAACCGGCCGAGTCTGCTCAAGGCATGCATACAGTCTTTTTTACTTTCGGATACATTAACGGCACCATTACTGAATTGCGCGCTGGCCCTTTTTGGTTATTAGAGAACGTATGTCGACAGCCAGTTAGCTAGATGATGGGGTGGAGGATCACTGCAGCGAT